AGTGGAATACGTCTGATACGCGAATATTAATTAGGTGCGGCGAGTGCAATAACTGTATTGTGACGGAATTTGGCACAAGTCCTAACTGTCATTCATATATTCAATACAAACCACCTATAGAAAAATAACTTTGAAAATATATATAAAAATGTGTCGATCGTAAAGGGTTAAAATTTCGCGTTTTAAGAGTTTAAATTACCGCAGCTGTGCTTTGTTGCATGTCACCACATTAGATACCATTATTTATAATATAATAACGTTGAAAGCATTCAATTATTTAATCGATGAAATCGCAGTAACTGAATTTATCATCAGTCACTAACCCCCATGGCATTCAGCGTGTTAACAGAAAAAAATCAAGTTCTATCCAGTCCCTCCACGAAGCAGTGCCTAATATCCTAAACCTACCGAAAAATACGAGCACGAAGCCTCGTCGATTCGTTGATACCTTCGAACCGCGCGGTCGAGCGACGCGGTTCTAAAACCGTTAATGAATCGTCGCATAAAGCCGCGCGCGGCCCGTTAAAACAGCAATTTTACGGGGCTGGAATCGCCAGGGTGGACGCGTAATAATATACGATCGTGCCGAGATTTCGGAAAAAGAGTGGCGCGGCCTGTTGCGAAACGCGCGATTTTAACGAGCCGCTAAAGGATCTAGCTGCCTTCCCGCGGTCTATTCTCACCTAGGCGCCGCTTGCAAAACCAGATAGCCCGACGGGCATAAATTACGGAGCGCGCGCCGGGAAAAGTGTACCGGCGGGCCCCGGTTTAGTGGGGCACGACCCACGTGCTCCGCGAACGTTACGCTCTGTTTAAAGATTCTGGGCCAGCGATTATATAATTGGCCATCCACCGCGGCGCGCTTGGATCGATCTTTCGCCGCGTAAAGCGATCCGATTCGAATGCAAATTCCGTTTTCCCGCGCCGGATTCAATGCAAATTGGCTGGGTTTAGGCTGTGGTTCTGGGAAAGGGAATCGGAATGGCGAACAGAATGCCTCTAACGCGATTCCAATGCTTCTAACGCCGCCACGATCGACATAGAGCTCGTAATTCACTAGGCAATTAGTGGATCGATTGTCTCGATAAATTGATCACTGGCCGCGGCAAGTTTTTAACGTTCCACGCTGTAAATCTGTTATATTTGTACAGTAGTATGTTTTCTCGGTTCGGTTGCTGTTTCTTATTCCCTCATTCTCAACCTGGGAGGCTTGGACTACTGTAAGGGGATGCGGGAAAATTTGTAATAAAAAGTTGACGTTGAATGCCATGGGGGTCACCGGTGATCACTAACCAAATCGAATTACTATAGTTCATTCAATTAAGCGATTATTGGAAACATTTGTATATTACAAACAATGCTACCTAATGCAGCGGTATTGAGTAAGATGAGCGCGCAATTACATCTTCCCCATTTTATGTATTTTGCTCTATGAAATCGTGCGGCGTTCAACATATTAAATCAATTCATAGACAAAAGAAACCGCCATATAAGTAGTAATTGCTTTTCTATGATTCACTCAAATAATGGTGGCTATTTGCAAACAATTCTATATTATTAATAATATTACCTAGTGCAGCGACCATTCGGCAACGTAAACGTGCAATAATAATAATATAATTCAATTGAATAATTCAATACTGTATTTTCTTCTATTTCGCATATTTTGCTCGGTGAAATCGCGCAGCATTCAACGTGTTAATGTTCATATATGATATCTATAAGTAAATGAACATCATATCGTAACGTAACAGTAGGAATTCAGTGAAGTAATGTTTATTTTGTAATGAAGTTATTCTTATTTAAAACGTGTCTATATTATTATATCTATTAAACTTTTGCACTCGGAAGGTTTTCACTAGAAAAACCCGACACTTCACAGTGAGACGTAGACGACTTTACTTGAAACGAACTAATGAGAAAACATACGTACATTAAGAAACAAAGCTATTTTATAGAAATATTTCACGTATTGATGCATTACACGAAACTTAATATTATATATAACACTTTGTAATTTTGTTATATCGAATCAAATGGTGACTGAGAGTCTCTACCCGTGGATAGTTTATACAGGTGCAGATATAGTTTATTAGACGTTTAGACGTTTAACGCTAGATTCATCTATCGCACATTCCCTTCCATCGTCTCAAGAAACACGTCCATTGAGATCTTGAAAATTACAGCGACAAAAATAATCAATTAGGATAGAGTTTAACACTTTGTCAAAGCGGTCACCGACAACCGGAGCTTTCAAATCACAAGAAAATAATTACGTCTTCGACGATAATTAATTTCAAACACAAATTCTCCGTAAACTAAATAATTAGATAATCGGGTAATATAAGAATTTTCATATTAAATAATGAATAATTCTTGCGTTATATCTTTTCTATAAAAAGAACAAGTGATACATAAAACGCTATTTTTCATGGCAGCCAACAAAGCACCACTCAAAATCGAAACGAAATAATGTTTGCAAGATCCAATACGCCTCACACGTTCCGCGAGCCCACAGGCAATAAGCAGTAAACAAAGCGAAGAACCAACCTTCAACGCGGATTCTCTAGAAAGCGAATGAAAACGCTTCCGGCGGGAGCCGCGCAGATGAATGGCCAAGAAGTTTCGTTTTCTCGCGCGTAGCCGCGTGGGACGTCTCGTTTCGCAAGGGATAGGCTCGTTAATCATCTTTAATTAGCGCGGCGCGCATCCGAGTGTTTCACCGAGGAAAATTTCAGCGGCTGTTGGAGATTAGCGCGCTCGGTTGACATAATGGACGCGCCTCGTTGATGGGGACGCTATCTCGCGAGGTCGAGTGCGACCGCGGATCCCTCCGACGGACATTTAGGAGCCGTATATTCCGAGGACATAAATTTCAGGGTCGGCCGCTCCCGCGTGGCCGCGGGCGGCGCACAATTCATCGGCGAAAGAATAGAAAGTACAAGTTGCACCTTCGGGATTATAAATTCTCCGGCCGCTCGGCCGCCGATACGATCTCGCCGGGTCTAACTAACTGCCTTTAACGCGACGTTGACACTTTCGACCCGGCAATTGGAGCTCGGATCGAATTCGATCCTCCCGCCGCTTCCGGGGATCGTAAACCTCGCGCGGAAATGGAAAGTCGACGCGACGCGGCGTATCCTCGCCGAAACTTCGTTCTACATTCCCGTTCCGATGTTCCCGTTTCCCTTGATACGCTCCGCGGGCTCGTCTTCGGGACAGCCGGCTTCCGATTTCGTGATACGAGACAGTATATTAGAGCGTGTCGTGTATTGTCGCCGGGGATTAGCTGTCGCGCGATACACGCGAAACGGTACACCGATGTGCTACGCGTCGCTACAAGCGTTGAGAGTTAAACGATCGTCGGAGGTGAATTATTCATGAACGCGGTTCGTAAGTGGACCGAGAGCGTTCGCGTGGATTTTCTTTTAGGTTTACGGAAATCAGTTTTCTGCGGAGGTTCGTCTTGATATTTTCGGATGTGATTCATTTAATGTGTTGATGCGAATGTTGTTTATAGTCGTTTGATGTTCGTGAATGTAGATTTGATCGTGCAAATGATGGTAATGGCCTTATATTCGTTGTATGACAAATATAAAGAAATATTCTATATTCTTAGTATCATAAACATAAAAAAATATTTTATATTCTTTATTCTATACTCTATGTTCTTAGTATTACAAATATAAGAAATATAGTACTATCGTTCTGCAAATATGAAATCTTGAACACCCCAAGAATCAGTGAATTAACTAAAATAAATTGCTTTTGTCGTCCATCACTGATTTCAATGTGAGCGTCAACATGTTAAGGAACAACCCATTCGATCGTGCGACGTCGCGTTTTACGGATGCGTTTCATTAACGTTAATTCGAGATACCGATGAACTCCCGCTTAGAGATCGTACCGATGATTCTTCAGCGGCCATCGAATTAGTGCCGTAGGTGGTTGCTAAGCTGGATGACTGATGGTCGAAAGTTCCCCCGGCTACCTTTCGATATCCGAAATTAACTGGGAACGCGAGCGGGGCATTTGCATAATATTTAATGCTCGCGACAGATCCCGCTGGCACGCAAGATCGATCATCCTATGGATCTAGCCGCCGCTGTCCCGTGAATCCTCTCCAGGGCCGTTTTAATCCTGGTTCCTCCGCGTCCCATCATTCTTTTTCTTTGCCGAAACCCGTGCTCGGACAAAGTGATACACCCACGCGGCGTGTCGAGCTTTTGTTTCGTTGTATCTTTTATTTCTCCGTTTCATTTCTTTTTCTAACGGATGTCGGACCTATGCTGTGTAATAAATACCCGGCCGTTGCGCAGGGTGCGCCGCTGCGCTGGCCGCTTCGCTTGGCGCTTTCATTGTGCTCGATTCAATCGACAACGGGACGATATAAAATAATGAGGAGTGATTTGAACGATGCCTGTCGTTAGCGAAATGTTAGAAATGAATTGACACGTTTACCGCGATAAGGATCTCGAGTGTTTTATAGATACACCGGTTATTCTTCTGTGGCGAGGATGAATGGAGACAATTATTAATTATCTGGTATCACGATTCGTAGGTTAGAGCATTATCTTGGTATTCGCGCCATTAAACCTTTTCATTCGACGTCAGTCGTTTGACACGTGTGGTCATTGCTGACTATTGCGAAGTTTTTAATTTCTATTGACCTTTTTAACTTATGGGTTTATGATTATCTGAATTTACTTGAATATTTCGACGATGTTATAGGTACATTAAAGAAAAGAGGAGAGGTTGTTTGTCAAGGTTAAAATTTGCTAATAATATTGAAGGTAGATTAAAGAAAAGAAGAAAGGACGTTGTTAAGGTTAAAATTTGGTAATGATATTCAAAGTATGTGAAAGGAAAGCGGAAAGGTCGTTGTCAAGGTTAAAATTTAGTAATAATATTCAAGGTATATTAAAGGAAAACGGAAAAGACGTTCATCAAGGTTAAAATTTGGTAATACCATGCTGTATTTTAACTATATCTTAACTCACCGTGCTCATCAGGACCAAAATGTAGCTGAACAACTGGTCACCGTGGTACTTGACCATCTCGGCGTCGGCCACCACCATGAGCTCGATGAAATATCCACCTGACAAGGCTCGGCGTGGTCTCGAAGTCACGAAGGGATCCGATTCCATTTCCCAGTCCTGACTGTACTCCTCGTTCGCGTCATTTCTTCTGCGCTCCACGGAGTAGTATCTGTAATTTTTCAATTTCTCCTCGAGCCTTTGTTACCCCTAAATTATGATCCTTTCATTTCCCCAAGGACATTGTTACAGTTCTCGCTTTCATAACAGCACGGTAAAGAAATCTTACGAAAGCATCCAGCATCTCAAATCCTAATTTCCATTGTGATTGTAATAACGTATAATTACGAAAATATAAACACACTTTAACACTTCGACTGCCATGTCACCGAAATTTGGCTGACACTATTTTTCACGTAATCTAGAACATGAATTTTCTTGGTGACCCATCGAACGAACCAAGTTATTATTCTATGAGATATAAGAAAGATAGTAGAGCAATTATTACGAAGAATCATGACTTTTTAGTTTCTGGTTTACTAAGAAAACTGTTTCGATCGCACGGGAGTTTTGATAAGTGTTTACTAGGCCGTCAAAGTATTAAACACGAAGATGAAAGTCTACAGTTTTACGAAATGACTATTTGTCCGAACTTCTTTCGATGTCTTTTATTTTCCTTTTTCGTCGAGTGAAACGATTTGCCACATAGCGAAAGTAAAGAGAATTACCTCTTGTACCTCTCGCTGTTTTCTATAAAATTCCGACCCTCGGAACGTCGTCCAACGAACTGCTCGTATTTCTCTTCGCTTTGGTAGTCGTCTAAAAACTTTTTTTCCGTCAATGCCCTGCGCTTCCGGGTACGGCCACCGACGTAAACTCTAATGTCGGACGTGTCGTCCTCAATGGGAGTTGGAAGACCGCCATCTGTAACAACGGAGAGAGCACGATTTGTTAGAACATAACACCGTACACGATCAAACACGCTGACGTCTCATTAATTGTTATATCTTAACGCAGACAATCTGTTTCTTACATAATCAAGAAGAAACTTTACTAATCTTTCTGATAAACTTGCTAATCTATTTTTCATTTAATATATTCTATTTCTCTTTTAACACTAAAGCTACCGGGCGAGTCAGATTGACTTCAGAATTTTTATTTTGCAAGTATTTCAATAATGAAGGCGTTATTGCGAAAGATTTTCAATGAAATTTGTGTATTTCTTCAGATACAAACTTATGAGACCCGTTAAATCTCAAGAAACTTTGTGCTATTCTACTTTCTCTAAAAAATTGGAAATAAGTTACTTTAATTACTTGGCAGTTCTAGTGTTAATAAAGGGATTGAATTTTCGTTTGATTCCTGCGAATCGTTTTATAGAACACGTTGAATGCCACACGATTCCATAGAGTAAAATACATAAAATGGAACAAACATAATATTAAATTATTTGATGAAATTGCATTATTATTATTATTACTATTATTATTATTATTGCATGGTAATCTAGCTGAATGTCACTGTATTAGGTATCATTATTTATAATATAGAAATGTTTCCAAATAATCATCGTTTAATTGAGTGAACTATAGTAATTCGATTTGCTTGTGGGCCACCAGTGACCCACATCGCATTCAACCTGCTAATATAAACGATCGGGATTTATTTATCCGAACTGCGAATATCGAAATTCGAATGTCGTCCGCAACGAGATTCACCGAATGCCGCAACTACAATGCGAACCATTGTCGACAGATTTTTCCATTTATCACATCAACGCGCGTTTCTTCACTCTGTAAATGATTAATAGTTTACGTCCACGACGCGACGGAAGCCACTTTTCAGGGAGATCGAGCTGAACGTCTGCTCGCCTGGATAACTTCATTGCAATGACGACTGCCGATGCCTGGGATTTTCAGGATTGCATTGACTATGAAGTCGTCAATCATTTCTTCCTTGCACACTGCGTTTCGAAAGATGTATTTATAGATGCTTCGACTTTCATAATCTCTAACGCGTCTTCGTTCACCTATCGTTCCTCGCAACATTCAGAATCTCGTTCCGTGCGTCACCTCGAATAATTAATTAATAAAGAAACTCTACGAGGGAACTATAAGAAACCACCGGAACTCAGTCAACCGTAGTTTCCTCGTGAAACGTCAAGATCGAATAATTGAAAGAATCTGAACGAGTTAGACACGCGAACAGCGAGGTAATTCATTAACGGCCATGAATTCATAGCGGAATCAGTTACGGCCGGGGATTCTCTGAGAATATGAATTATTTCAATTTTATTGAGCAGCTCGACGCCACAGCGAGAAAGAAATGAACGCACAAAAATCCCTTTGTTCGGGCGGAACGTGTGCTGCCGGTTCGGATCGATCGAAGACAAAGCACAACTGTTCCCGATATAGCTGCAAGTATAGCCGAAGGATCGAGGCAACGATCGTATACGCGTCTAATTGAATGCGCGGTTGACACTTTCAGAGAAACCGATACGTCCTGACGGCTTCACGTTCCGCGATCCATCTTGATGTCCTTCGCGCCTCTCGTGTGCGGGTATCTGATCCTCAGACGCGCGGCCGATTTTCCTTTCGTTTTACAATTATACAGGGTGTCCGCGTTATTATTGGTCTCCGGTTTTTAACCGCTTGCGCTGGAAAGACGTGCCACCCGCATCGAGACGTTTCTGTTGCAAAATTCTCAATTATGTCTTTCACACATTGATAATCTTGTTGCATTACACCTATTAGATTCTTTCTAAATGTATCACTCTACACAGAATGATTAACAAACAAAATTGGTGTATAATCAGCGTAAAATTGGTAAAAAAAAATTCATCGCGCGAGACATTGCCAAATGTCTGAATTCATTTCTAGCGCAAGTGGTTAAAAAAGCTTGGCGCTGTTTGACACGTTTGCTACCAGCGCTTATTTCGGTGACGGTCTCCTCAATTATAATATTTTCTTCAATCTAATAAATCTTCTAAACAAAATATTAGAAAAATCAAACTGAAATGAGGCATTGAGTTCGTAAATATAATGTCGTAGTTTATTATTTCTAATAACAATATCTATAGGATTCGTTTCATTTTCATTATGTAAAATGTAGGATTACGGCCGTTACAAATATGTGACACTGGTAGCGAACGTGTTAATAGATTTTTTCGATGAAAACATAATATAGATCACGATTCTTTGCAGATTTTTATGCAGTTGCAACGAATGTTGGTGAATAAAAATCAGTGATTCGAACATTTGTAATAAGTAGTGTTTCAAATGAAGTACTTGAATAGATATTTGTAATTTATTAAATCGTTAACACATTGCGTTAATTTTCAGAAAACTGAATTAGGCGAGTGGAGATTTTCCGTGAGATCAGTTATGTCAACATATAGAAAAGCGTGAATATCATATTGTTATATAATATATTTTAAATAGATAAGTTCGAATCGAATTGAATATATTTTTGAATATTCTGGTAATTAGCAAAGTTACACAGCTAACACTGGAACTACCGAACAGTCAGATTTTGAAATGTTTCTATGGAAACGCCAACAGTGTTACTATTGAGATTTCTATTGATTTATAATTCAGTTTGTCTATTGCTGAATTAATTTCTCTATTAATTTCTCAGAGAATTATCTGTTACGTTTAATAATTGAAAGAAGCAATCAGAAATGGGTCATTTTATCCTTTATAGTAGTTGTAGTGTTAAAATATGCCAATGAAATATTCAAGTTGAAAGTTTAGTTCCAATTTTCGAGGTATAATATCTAACCTTTCCACCAAATCATCGGACACATTTGAAGTTACAGATTTCAGAATGTTTAATTTACACTGATCTTTCTCTTAGATCGACATTTCATTTTCTTTCAAGTTAATTGGAATCTAAGCGACGAAGCAATTTTCCGAAAACCGAGAATCAAGCGTGCGTCACTGATGCCGTGAACACCGATGAATCACGGCTGAACGGTTGCTTAATGATTTCGTTAAATCGATTAGCCTGCATCGATTAAGCATTCATCTGATCGCGGTCGTGTGAGTGCACGCTTGATGGATCCCCGTGGCGAGATCGCGATATTGATAAAGAGCAGAGTCCGCTGCTCGGTATTCGTAGCTCTGGAACGCGAACCTTTCAGCGAAACCTTGAAAGCACGCTTCGCTTACGAATGGAATATTTCTGTGAAAATCTTGGCAGACCGATCTTACATTCAATGATTCGCAATCAAACTCCACAGAAAGAATACGCGACAAAATATACCAGAAAAACTTGAATGTTCGTAAATCAAAATTTTTGTCTACAGATTGAACCATATAAATTATTATCAATCATGCCAAGTATTTTATTAACACGTCGAATGCCATGGGGATCACTCAATTAAATGATGATTATTTGAAAACATTTCTATATTACAAATAATGCTACCTAATACAGTGGCATTCAGCTAGATTACCGTGCAATAATACTAATGCAATTCAATCAAACGATTTAATATTATATTTCCATCTTGTATTTTACTATATGAAATCGTGCGGCATTTAACGTAATTACTCGACGTAAGAAAAAAGAAGAAACTGTAGAATCCGAAAGTACAAAAAGGTCTTTGAAAAGATTCCTATGGAACATAAGAAAATTCAAGTGAATATCGATAAATTTCAAAGAGACTGGAACACTTGACGTGAATCGTCCTGTACACCGAATAAAACTATCCCGACGATTATCGCTCTTAGTAAAAGAACGATCGGATCCGTGATTTAATGACGGCATAAAGCGCCGGTATAAATCAAGTTAAAGAAAATTATGATGGAATAATGATATCGAAAAAAAGAAGCGGTAGTCGCTTCCAGGCACCGAGGATCGTCGCCCCGAACGAAGGAAAAACAACATTGCACCCCTGCAGATTGCGGTAGGTCCCCGAAGGAATGCGCTTTCATGCAATCGTAATGATAGCTTTATTACCCGTTGTAATTGCCATCATTGCCATTATTATGCTCGCGGTGATTGCTGGTATATTGTTTCGCGGCCATGCTTTGGCGAATCTCGACCGCGCAATCGCTGTCCGCGATACGAGTAATTAGAGTATCATTAGCGTTCTATCGTCCGTCCGTTATTAACGGCGTTTCTTTCGCGGTCGGCCACGGAAAAATCAAGAAGACAGAGAAAGAAGAAACGCGCGGTTTAATCACTTAGTGCAGCTAAAAGTATCATTCAATCGGCTTATCAATAATTGCTTTCGAATTACCAGCGCGCTTAAGGATTGAATTACAGTTCCGAGCCAACTACTTCCTGCTTGGATAGAGTTTTAGCGTTTCATGATGGACGGAAGTTCGAGGAATGATGACGTTAAGCGACATAGAATAAACAGGTTACACGAATTCTAAAAATTGATCGATTATTCCTAATTACAAGTAATAATATGTTCTAAATGCAACATTCAAAATCATCATCCACGAATTGTTGATTTTTATGTAATACGAATTGTAAACGTCACGTAAACCTTCACGTAATCTTGAACATGAATTTTCTTGGTGACATATCGAACGAAATTTTATTCGATGTATAAGATATAAGAAAGATAGCAGAGCAATTATTACGAAGAATCTTGACTTCTTTGTTTCTGGTTAATGAAGGAAACTGTTTCGATTGCATAGGGGTCTCGATAAGTGTTTACCAGGCAGTCAAAGTGTTAAACGTGAAGATTGAAGTCTACAGTTTTACGCGACATCGTTGTCTTAAGCGACACAGAATGAACAGATTAGACAAATTCTATAAATTCATCAATTATTCCTAATTACAAGCAATAATACGTTCGAAACGCAACATTCAAAACATTTTCAAAGTGCCGATTTTTATGCAATACAACTTGTAAACATCTCAAGGAAAGATCTAGATACTGTCACAGAATTTAAATATTTCCGTTA